CCATCCAAAACCTGAGCTTAACTATTTAAAGTCTTCAACCTTTTAAAAACATAACTATCATGCACTAAATCTTGTATAGGTACATATTTTAAAAACATTCCCATTGTGAAATAGCAAAGTTATTTCAAGCAGTTTAAATTTTCATAATTTAGAAAACAAAATCAGCAATTAACACCATCTTCCCACCACCCAATCAGACCAACAAAGCAATCAACAGGTTTCAAAGTATTCTTCTGTGTTGTATTGTGTTATACTGTATGCAATAAAAATCTAAATGTTAGAAGGAAACACGCTTTTTAATAGGAATTATTACTAATTATTGTTTCATCTGATAATACAGATGTTCAGAGCAAATTGTCACATTGTACACTTGATTGACTGCTCCATGTACTCGATCACTTGTTTTTGTACATCTTAGGACAGTGATGTACTGTATTTTTATTGTGTTTCATGTGCACTCAATTGTACAAATACATTCATTATTTGCAGTTATTAACTGATTTTATAAAATAATTTGTAAAGATTTTTAAAGGTAAACATAAAATCAACCGCTACAGAGCTACCATTCATTTTTATGCCAATAACAAATACAAATTAAAATAAATGAAGCATTGATTTTCATAATAAGGAATTGTTCAATGTACTATAGGAACCTCCATGTTGAATGTTTTTATTTAATTTCTCTGTATCTCATTGAATTAATATTTTATACCTTTTACGATTGATGACAATTTTTTTTTTGCTCATTGCATTAAGCAACAATGATTACTTTTTGGGAGGTGGTTAGGAAATTAAAACCACAGGATGTTTATTCAGTTTTCACCAGAGTTTCTTCTTTTCTCAGAACATAACCCACCTTCTGGTTCTTGTGTTTGTCTTTATCAAATTCTAATAATTCTTTGTGGCTGAGGAGAGGAGCCACTATTTATCATTTAAGTCAAAATAAAGCACGGTCTTCTGTATCTGTGCTAGGCTGCTTCACTCTGCTTTCGGTTGTGACATGCAAGAGATTAGTAAATCTGCCATTTCAAACGACACACTGATGTTTCAGACTGAAGTCCCAGGAAAAAAGCAATCCTTTTTACCACAGATGATTTCTTTCTTAATAGCACATTGCATGCAATATCCCTTTTGTTTTATACAGCTTATCACACATTACGTTAAGTTCTGAAGTAATGATATTCTAGACCTTTTCCCTCTTTCATTATCCATACTGGTGACACAGGATGTATGTTGTAAAATTGGAAATGTATTTGACATGTTGCTAAATAATATGTCTTACATTTTCTGTGCATTTGTCAAAGACTTGTACTCTCTGGTTACATCCCAGTTTGTTCACTGCTGATGGTCAAGAGCCTAGGTCTTGTCCAAAATCACTTCAGTAGTTGCTCTAGGAGAAATTTAGAGATGCATGCCCTTGATGCAAAGTGAAGCAGTAAACCCATTATATACAAAATAATGCCTCAAATGAAGCTATGTAAAAGGCTTACAATACCTCGATAGGCCTTGGGCACTTGGGAGTTTTTTGATTGCATGTTCAATGTGTGTTACTGGCTCCAACATTCACTACAATTGTAGTGCACCAGTAGTAACTTTTCAAGAAGTAGTTGTCACTTCACTCTTTAGTAAAATGCTTCTTTTTCTTGTCTCCTTACAGCTCCCCTTTGAAATGGAGGTCTACTATATCCAGCACATCATACTTTATATGGTTCCCATCTACCTGTTTAGAAAAGGAGGTACGTCTATTCTTCTTCTGCTTGTGTCATGTGCCCAGCTTAACTCTATATGTAATTGGTCATAGAAGTGTAAAAGAGTAGCTCAAGCCTAATTGTTACTCCTAGGACATCACTGCTCAAATATCCATCTTTTTTTTTAACTAATCGTTGATCACTTAAATCCACATTAAATGGTGAACATGCCAAATCATTTCTTGCTTAGGTTAAGTCCAAAGAGGTATTGCTGATATAATGAGATTCATTTTGAGTGTATGCGGTAAACAATAGATCTACAGTAGTAAAACACACTTGGATTGAAAATCTCTTCCCTATGTGGTGTTCTTTATACTATATCAATAAAATATGATACAGTGCTGCCATCTACTGTAAAAGGTGTGTCAAAGACTTAGTTATCTATGTTGCCTGCCAGTTTTCACTTTTGATGAGTTATTTCAGTAATTTATTTTTTTTTACTTTATTTACTGTTATTGATGTATTTAACTGGTGCTTTTATCCAAAACTGCTTTTTTAACTGATCACATAGCTGGGCATTTTACTGCAGAAGTCTGAGTGAAATTCCTTGCTCAAGGATACAACAGCAGAGGCTCATCTGGGATTTGAATCCAAGGCATTCCTGTTAATTTCTGTCTTTTTAAAAGTCTCTTTGGGAATGTCTTCTTTAATAGTTTAATACTGAATTCTCAGAGCACAGTATTAAAATGAGGACATGTAGAAAATAATCCTGAAAACATTCACAGTCCTGTCTGACCTTATTTTTTTATATGTTAGCTCAAACACAAAAAAAATCCTGAATGTTATGTACTATTAGCTATCATAAAGTGTAGCAGTGGAATAAAAACGGTTTTCCTCAGTCTGTTATTATGAGGTGTGAATACGTTCATGTACTGATTTGTAAGTTATAAAAACTTTAGGCAGAAAGTTTGAAAACATTTTTTGTAGTTTTGTGAAATTAGGGTTAAGCAAAATCTTAGCCATCTCTTCTTAGGATTTCTTAGGATGTTAAGTATTTCTTAGGGTGATGTTTTTTTTTATCTCTTCTTTGATTTCCCTACTTTGATTTGTAGCTTCCTAACTCTGTTTCCTTAGCTAGCCTCTTATGCTTTGACAATTAGAAAAGTGAGGCATTTTCTGTGCTGTTCTGCTTAAACTTGCTGTCTTCCTCACAGCTAAACACACCTCCCATTCCAGCTGCACTGCCTGCCAGCTGCCAGTCAATGCCTTATCACTGGCTCCTTTGTCTGCCTGTGAGCCTCTTGGTCAACAACTTCCAAAGTGGTCTTTTTATCCTTCTCTCCTAGTTCCAGACACCTCTAGTCAATGTCTACAGTACCACGTGCAGTATAACTTCCTTAATAGCTTTATAAAAAGGCCATATTTTCTTCAGTACTCTGACGGATCCTATCATCTCACAGCTAGTTAGTATCTGATGAATGTGGGGTTTGCATTGACAAGGTGAAGTATGAAAGAACTCTCTGGCAAGCCGGTCTTTGAAGAGACTGTCATAACAGCAGACATGCCTCTAGAGGTTGACAAAGGCTTCTATCAATAGACACACTGGATGACACTTAGTCAATGAATTGGATTATTGGTGATGCTTAATTTCACATTCTCGCATGGGGTTAATTAGTGGTATGTTTGGAGATACAAAGGGTTTCACTGTGGTAGCTGGTAGCTTAGTGATTAGTAGTATTTGCAAGGGCTTCTTTAGAGTCCTTTCTGATGAAAATGTATATAAAAACTTGTAAGAGAGTGCACAGTGTGACCTTTATGTTTCTGTATGTGTTCAGAGCCATCTTATTTAAGGGTAGGGTCTGTCACAGACACCTTCAGTCTGAGACTCTTCAGTTACCATGAAGGCTTGTCAGGGTTCCTGCATCTTCCATACTCAGCAAACAAGAATCTGACTGCCACATCTTTGATGACTGAGAATAACAAAGGCCTGCAGTAGAAAAAGGCCTATAGTTGTCTTGGTCTCCATGATTAAGATCACAATCTGTCATGATTGTAAATTCAGTGCCACCTGTAAGTTTAGGTTGCATGCTGTGTTTCAAAGTATTTTAAATGGAAGTATTTGAATGCTCTGTATCCTATAGGTATGTACATCTAGAAATCACAAATTCATCACAAATGTGAAGATGCAAAATGTATTTTTGTTATTTTTGGAATTCATAGTAGAGATATTTCGGGACATAAAACAAAGCAAAACCTAGGAGAAAGTCAAGTTTGAATATTAGGGCTGAGTTATTTGAGTGTACTTAATAGTTTACTATATGCACATCAACTGCAATATTAATGACATTTTGATTTTCAATCTTTTATTAAGATAAAGAACTCTTTATATGGGGAAACTACCAGAGAAAATCTAATACTGCCACAGAAAACAGTTTTCTAAAATAAGAATAGCTATCACTAAGTAAAATAAGATAAGTAAAATATAGAAAATATTAAGACTTGCTAATATTGTTACGATTGATTGATACAGAGTGACACACTGTTCTTTGCATATTTGTAAAGGATACGCATGGGTTTCCTCTGGGTGCTCTGGTTTCCTCCCACAGTCCAAAGACATACTGGTAGGATAATTGGCTTCTTAGAAAATTGGCCCTAGTGTGAGTGTGACCGGTGTCCTGTCCAAGGTATACTGCACCCTGCCTTGAACCCATTGCCGGCTGGGATAGGCTCTGGCTCCCTTGCGACCCTGAATTGGAAGAAGTAGTTAGAAAATAAATGGATGGACACATGGACAAAAATACACATGTACAGTGGGCTTAATAACCCAAACCTAGAACCAAGTCTCGTTGCAGTGACGTTGGTTATTTTGGACACAAAGGAAAGGCGTGTTGTTGCTGTCCTGAATGTTGTTATCTCCTTTTCACCCGTTCCTCTTCTACCCAGTGCATTTATTTACCCTACCATTAACCAACTGTACTTGTTTCTGTATTTTTATCATCATAATTTGTGATTCACTGTATTTTCTTTTCTATTTTATGTATCTACTTATTATGTTAAATATGCGGCTGTAGGTCACCATAAAGGAATGATTTTGTTATGTTAATAGCTGTATATATTTGGGACTGCCTGATGTTTCATTTCTGTGACAATTATAGCAGACATTTATATGGAATTTAATGTCCTGTTTGTCTTGATTATTGAAAAAGAGGCACTAGTTAATAGATTTTCCCCATCCTTTTAGTAAGTTCTGTACCATAGGGAGTTATCTGATTTAGTAGGTGTGGCAAGCTATATTGCAGTGAGCAGTTATTTTGTACAGCATGATAGGTTGCATTTGTTTCTCTCTTCTAGTGATTAAGTATCGATCTCAGATGCATTAAATATATTTTAGAAACATTAACCACCGCAAGTTGTCATTAAAGGGCTACTCATACATAATTATGGAAAATAAAGGTCTAAGAAATGGAAAATGAAACTCATGGTGTTTGCCATTGATGTATTAGAATAAACTTTAAGGAAGATTCATTATTATTTTCACTGCTATATACTGTATTATTACTGGAATTAACTGCTTCCAAGTATTAAACAAGTGTGATTGTGCAGGTAAGCATGAGAAAAAATGTAGAAGTGCTTCAAATATGAAGTAAGCTAAATAAAGGCGTACAGTACATCAGGGTGACACAGAAGGTGCTTTTGTAGTGACAGACATAAAAAGCATTTATTTAACTTAATAAAATGCTTTATAAATTACAACTTTAGAAAGTTATCCCAGAGTACAAAACACAAATTCAGTGTCCTGTCTGCTTGATTACAAACTGCTGAGTTAACACAAGAGTTTTGGCTGACATTCAGATTCCTAAAAACTGTTTGCAGAGCCAGCTTAGTGGACTGCTTGAGGTCTAGCAGTAAAAAAAGGCACTAAGGACTTACCAGAAATTAAGAAGCATTTAAGGCAGAGAACAGAAAGTACATCTTTCTACCTATGATGTTCCCTTGCTACGGGTAGTACTGGTACATATCCAAAGTCACAGATTGTTGTAAAATTCAACAGACTCAACTCCTACAGTACATGCATTTTGGATGGTGCTTTGTATAGGAGCTAGTTAAATATGAATACTTATTTTGGTGTGCTATTGTTGTGCTCACAAAAAAACAAAGGGAACCAAGTATACACCATGAACATTTTTTCCTAAATCTAAATCATCACAGATTTTCTGATTATTAGTAACTATACACGGACTTTGATGACTTTGACAATTTGATCACAGATACACCTTCTTTTAAGTGAGTGGGAGATGTTGCTCATGGCAGTAGATAGCTCTGTCAGTATTGCACATGATAAAGTATAGTACTATCAGTATTGCACATGGCAATAGATAGCTCTATCAGTATTGCACATGGCAGAAGATAGCCCTG